AGGTGAAATAAATAATTCAATAAAAGAAGAGCAATATCTTGAATGATACTTGTTTTGTGGTTTAGTTCAATTCCGAAGATAGAGTGTTATTTATTCTTTTGTTTACTCGTGGGAGAGTCTTCCATTATCTTCAAGAAACGTATTAGCGTGCCTCTAAGCCAAACAAGTTTTGTTTTGGATTCCATATATATTTATCTTTCTTGTTGAGTTGTTCTAACACTTTATATAAATCCAAATAATTAGGGGACAATTATTTAAAGATGGTAAAATATTTTTTGTGTGTGTGTGTATATATATATATATATATATATATATATATTCACATTATTTTATGATTTGTCGCTGCGTGATTTTGATTTTTACTTCTAATCATATAAATACTCTGAATAAGATTTGTGTATGTTTTTTATGTGACAATTCTTTATTGGTAGTACATTAAATTTGAATTTATGAAAGTTATCGTGCTTTTAAATTGTCTAAATAACAAATACGGCTATCAAAGTAAAAGTGCTATGATGTTTATTTCGTTTTAGATAACAATACTGATGGAGAAGACGATACGTAAAGACTTCCTCTTGTACTTCTTCTTAATTTGAATTTTTATGAAAGATTTGACGACATTAGTGAATCTGACCTGTAGAGGACATACGCTAGCAATACAATTTGATTGTTGATATTTTTATTTGATGCAAAAGAATATGTACATTTAAAAATGAGCAAAATTGGTACTACTAATGATAGTCAAGAAAAGTATACTTTACAAAAAAAAAGAGAGGAAAGCCATTTCAAATCATATTCTCACATAATAATTAGAGAGTTAAAAGATCATGGATAAACAAACTACACTCCTTCATGTTTTGTAAAACAAAAATTATAATGTATCTACATATTAATATGATTATTTTTTGGGTCAGTCGTTTATTTATTTAGTATTATATTTTGTTGAATAAAATAAATTAGGTATGGAAAAATTGATTTACTTTAGAAGAGTCATCAAGTAGCTCTAAATTGTCAAAATTAATCCATTTAAACTCCAAGTGAGAAATTAAAAATAAAGTATCTTATATGACATATCATTTCTCAAGTCAAAAAAGAGCATACAAATAAATCAATAATATCATATGTTATTTTTTTTGTAAATACATTAGTTGGCAGATGTCATGGTTGACTTCACTTTGTCTCAATGGCAGTATAACCTCGCCAATTATTTGTGCCTACGAATAAGACATTACATACAACAAAGAGATGCACCTATAGTTAAAAAAAAATACTAATACTTTCTTCCTTTCTTTGTCCTTATTACTTTTAGTTTTCCTTTTAGTTCTTTTTATGTTTTTCCATTTGATATTAGTATTCTATCATTATTTTATAATACATTATAAGCACAAAGTTCTAACCACATGTTGATCTCTTACTCCAAATGGTTTTTAAATTTATCATCACTAAAATTAGAAAATAAGACATCATCCTTGAGTGTTTTATATTTATTGATTTGGATGATTAAAAGTAATATATTTGATGTAATCTCATATTGATTTCATTCTCTTATATTATTCACTGAAATTCATTTGTTCTTGATCTTTTTTTTTGTATGAATCTATAGTAACTTTTAATAGGCTATTTTTTTAGATGAGATGAAATTATTGGAATAATTGAATCATTGCTAGTAAGTTCTTTAACATTATTCTTGGAGTTAAAAGGACCAATAATATATACTCTTTGTTTAAAGAATTTAATCAAGTTGAGGGGTTGTTTCTTGTTCTTGTGATAAAAGAGTATGATTCTTGAAGATCTTGATATTGCAATCTGCCACCATTAATAATTTATTGTGGCTTTTATATATCTATTTATACAAAAATATTTTGTAATATGAGAGGGAAGGTAAAAGTTTGAATTTGATTTTCGCTATGAGGTTATTACTTTCTTTAGAATCACAGAAAGGATTTGATTTTCATCATCAATATTTATATTGTAGACAGTTAATAGATGTCTTAAATAAGATTAGTATTGAATCACAAACTTACCAGTAAATTGGTGAAATGCTTCTTCATTTACCAAAAGATTGGTATTATTGTTCAAATCTTATGTCTTATTTAGATCTAATTGCATATTCCATTTTTGAAAATCCTATGGTATTTTTACTTATAAAGGTGATGTGGGTCACCTAAAGAAAGTCGCAATTATTAAAACAACTTCACTCCCTCCATGTAAAGGAGTTGTTCTATTACGAAAATAGGGAGTTATTTTAACTTGAAAATAATTTACCTTAGTGTTATTTCTACTAGAATATAAAGAAATTATTTTAAGCCTTTGTTTCAACTTTAACATTGAATGTTTTCTATATTAATAACTTGTTTGTATTACATGTGTTATATAAAGAGATTGAATACATTAATTTGTTTTACTCCAACAATTTTTAAACATTGATTTATTTAATTCTAGGAATTTTGTTTCAAAAGAGAATTGCAGTATATAAAGAGCAAATTTATTTTGTTTCAATAAGTGAACATAATATTCTTTTAAACGCTTATGAGTGAGTCATATTACACCTTAGCTTATTACTGCATTGGTTAAGGGTAAAATGATGAATTGAAGTTTCATCTAATAAAGAAAGTAAGATGTTGAATTTAAGTCCTAATGCACCATAGTGATGACATAATGATGACTGAGTAAAACTAATGTACATATTGAGATATACTTAGACCTCTCACATAGAATCTTACTTAGGCTTTACTTGTAGCAACATGAATAAAATACATAAAGATATTCTAAAATTTGTCTCACATAAAAAACATCTAAAGAATACGAGTTGAACTTAGCCAATAAAACGTTAATATGCCATATAGGCCTTAATAAAATAGAATCCACCGAATATAAAGGAAATAAAGAGAGTTCATAAAAACTAGTAAAGTCTTCATAAGATAGAATCATGAAAAGATAGCATCCCCGAACATGATGACCTACCAATACTTGGAGAAAGAGTGTCACGACTAGAATCTATACCCCAGACGAGACTGGCATTGTTGACCTCTCAGAGGTCGCAAACAAGCCTACATACGTCGATGTTACTTCATCTAGGTTAATTTTAGAAAAAAATTTGAACTTTTCTTTACTTAAACTTTATATTGGAAATCATTGATCTCGAATAATTTTATCTATGTAAACTCATAAGCATTTACATCAACCATCTAACTCAACATAATCAAATGAAAGATACACTCATAAATATAGAGTTGCCAAAATTGCACCAATACATTGTCTGAAAGTAAATACGAAAAAACACTAGTGGAACGCTAGATCATCTCTACGTCTATGCTAGAATAAATCAATAAGCATCATCGAAATCATGAGGGCCTACCAAATCCGAATGAAAGCTCCATGTCCAGATAACTTCTGCGTCGACTCGTAAGCTCTAACGTCTAACTGCACCTGCACCAAAAGTAGATAAATGTATGAAATTAGTACACACTTGTACTAAGTATAGGTATATGCAAACACACACCACGTACATGCATGATTTAGAATAGCTCTCTCCTAACGATATGAGTTATGAAAACTCAAGTAGTGGACTTTCCAAAATCAGATTAGAAAATTCATGCAATAAGAGTAACATGTATCATCATACGTATTGTATTGCACACAAAACATAACACATTTCATATAGCACATATCATATTTCATTTCATTCGTTCATATGCCATGAGACCTTGGAACCATAGAATTAACATTGGGACTTCCCAAAATGAGGGCTCAACTTATGGGACCTCAACTAGGGAGCCCTATTTAGCAAACCAGAGTCTCCTTCATTCATTCATACGTACTTCATTTCATTTCATTCATAGGCTAGTGTAAATACTAGCTATACCTAGGATGTAGTTTAAGACTCTCATTGGGTTCACTGTGCAATGACTAAGAATGACCTAGTGTCATTACATAAGTCTAGTTCACCTTTTAATTATCCTACCCAAACACCTTTGATATCGTTCATTTCATTGTGTGCATTACATGAGGCTGACCTCATTCTTTCTTTGGGAACATTAACTTTAATCGACATAGATCATGTGATCAGTATGAAATCCAGTGTCTACCCCACACCGAAAAAGAGGTGGAATAACCGGCCAAAGTGAAACCAAAACATGCTAGTGTATATAGGGAAATAAACCATGCTAGTTCCCTATGTTGGTTGCATAGGTTCAAAGACTAGGATATATAAGGAGAATCCTACCCGTCTAGACAGACAGTCTCATCTAATGAGAACTACACAAACCTCTGCCTTCCCGAAAAAAGGAATCGTCATTCCTAGCTATCCTATCGGTGCTCAGTATAAAGTTCCATTACATTCATCTCATATATCATAGAAGGTGGATTCTAGCATGAGGAAATGATAGCTCATTAGATGATTTCTCATCCCATTATTAGTATTATGTATATATTAACTTCAATACTTTCATTAGAGTATTCATAAGGATTGGTCTCTTCATTAACTTACACTCTCATAGGTGAGTACATTTTGGTAACATTTAATTTGGATCACTTAAGATTGCTCTCATATTTCACATTAACCTCTTATCATATTGTCACCACATTCATTAGTGTTAGACATTCTCCCTTCATAACTACTCACCACTTTTTATATGAATGTTCATTTCATCATATGTCAATGCACTTGGCCTTTTAGTGTGTTTCACACTCTTACTTAACCCTTCTAGGGTCACATCATTCATCACATAACATCCACTACAATTAGATCATGCAAAACCTAAGGTAGTGTTCCAAGAGTAAGAGAAAGCAAGGGAGTCACAAAAGAAAACATAGACCCTGAATCAAGTAAAGCATAAACAGAGGTTGAGAAAACTTGCAACATACCTGTGACCACATCAGCAGACTTCTTCTACTCCTCCCTGCCCTTCAAGGCGTAAAATATATTCCTCTTAAGAGGCTCGACTGTAGTAGCATTCTGGGGATTAGGCCTAGGCTGAGAATTACCTCCAGCCTAACCCCTATTCTTGGGGCAGTCCCTGACCATGTTCGCTCTTTCCGCAACCAAAGCAGGCATTTGTGCCTAGTCTGCACTCTCCACTGTGAATAAGGTCACACTTGCCACATTCCTTTCTGGGACGTTGCACATCACCTCCATTGCCCTTCTTTAGCTCTAGTTTGTCTCCTCTAGGTGTTGCACTCCTCTGAGAGTTAGAGTTCCCCAAACTCTGATGCCCCTACTTAAAGCAATGCTTGATCACAAATTCCAAAGTGCTCGTGCAACCACCTCTGCTAGAACCTGTTTGGTCAGGAGGGTTAGGCCTCCTGACCTCACGAACTTTCCTCTTTTTCCGACTTCCCTCAACCTGCTGGACATGTGCCATAAGCCTGGACAAGTTTATGCTATCCTGGAGCATTGTAGCGCGACAATCCTCCTCCAATTCCTCTGACATCCCTGTAAGGAACCTGCTCATCTCATCCCTGTAGTTAGACACAAGAGAAATGTAATTTCTGGACAATTTAACGAATTTCAGGGAATACTCGCTGACATTCATCAAGCCCTGCTTAAGGTTGATGAAATCATCAACCTTAGCCTCTCTCATTTCTCTAGGGAAGAAAATTTCTAGAAAAGCTGTCTTAAACAGCTTCCATGTGATCGGACCTCCGCCTAAAGCTCGGCTATCCTGCCACATCTTGTACCAGAAATGTGCAACATCCTTGAGCTGGTAGGAAGTCAGCCCAGCCTTCTTAGTATTTGTGGCCCCCATGGTCACTAAAATCTTCTGCATCTCATCAATAAACCCTTATGGATCCTCTGAAGTCTTGGACCATGTGAAAATCGGAGGATTCATCCTCGTGAAGTCCCGTAGTCGTTCGTCCATGCTACGTGCTGGTGGGTTCTCCCATTGAACCTCCTGTCTGTGGACATGGGCTATCATAGACTAGGTCGCCATAACCTAGGCCTGCACAGTGATAGCTTGAGCAATCTATGCCAAAGCGGTCCGCACCTTCGCATCAGCCAACCCAGTTGGGTTAACTGGCATGACCACTCCTACAACTGGAGCCTGGGGTGGAACTTGGTTGCCCCTAGCAGCTGCTTTCATTTCCCCGACCAGTTCCTTCTTATGTTCATTTTCTGAAAAAGAGAAGAATTAATGTTCGATATGCTCATAACACCAAGAAATTAGTCATCATAAAAGTCACGATAACATCAGAAGAAGGGAACCATCACATCTTTTTTGGCATCTTTTTCTTTGCTTTGACCGCGACTTTGTTTGGTCTTCCTCTTTCCTTCGGCCCATGTTTCAATGCTAGAAAAAAGTTCGAGCCTTCGGGATCTCTCTTGAACGGCGGTCGGTCAGCCCTTTTCTTATGTTGATGCTGAGACTCCTATTATGTCAATGCCAATTGAATCAATGTTATTAGCTGTGAATTCGAATTTTTTGGTATTTTTTGTTTCTTCGGATGATATGATGGGTCAATCATTTGCTTCATTGGTTCCAACGGTGGCAGCTGTGGAATCTGCTATTGGGTTAGCTATTTTCGTTATTACTTTCCGAGTCTGAGGGACTATTCCTGTAGAATCTATTAATAGTATTCAAGGTTAAAGATGACTCCTAGAGAGTTACCAAAATATGAAGTTCTCTTCTCCTTTCTTTCTCTTCTTTCTTTTTGATACTTGGTTGGCAGGGTTAGGCCTTTCTCGCTGGGCGAGTGCATCCGATGATCATGCAGTCTCTAATTCAGGATAGTGGTGCACTTCCCTACCATGACTTAGAAACTACACAATGTGGTTGATGTGAAATTATAACCCTCAGAAATGAACCTAACACTCTGATACGAACTTTGTCACAACCGAATCTAGTCCGCAGATGATACCGACGTCATTGACCTAAAAGAGGTCGCAGACAAGCCTACATATGTTGTCGTTACTTCATCTAGGTTAATTTTAGCTGAAAATTTGAACATTTTTTTACTTAAAATTATATTGGAAGACATTAATCTTGCATAATACTATCTATGTAAACTCATAAGCATTCACAACAACCATCTAACTCAAGATAATCAAATGAAAGATATAGTCATAAATATAGAGTTGCCAAAATGGCCAAAATACAACATCAGAAAGTAAATACGAAAGAAACGCTAGTGGAACATACTCCACTAGATAATGCCTAAGTCTACGCTAGAATAAATCAGTAAACATCCTCGAAAGCATGAGGTCCTTCCAAATCTTGATGAAAGGTCCAAATCCGGGTAACTTCTGCGTCGGCTCATAAGCTTTAACATCCAGCTGCACCTGAACCTAAAAGTAGATAAATGTATGGAATAAGTACACGCTTGTACTAAGTATAGGTATATGCAGGCACACACCATGGACATGCATGATTTAGAATAACTCTCTCTTAACGATATGAGTTATGGAAACTCAAGTCATTGGACTTCCCAAAATCGAATTAGGAAAGTCATACAATGAGAGTAACATGCATCATTATACGTATCATATTGCACACAACACATAGCATATTGAATATATCACATGACATATTGCATATAGCACATATCATATTTTATTTAATTCGTTCATATGCCATGAGAACCTGGAACCATGGACTTAAAATGAGAACTTCCCAAAATGACGGCTCAACATATGGGACCTTAACTAGAGAAAGTATCTTTATCATTCATTCATACGTATTTCATTTTCATTTTATTTATAGGCTAGTGTAAAGACCATCTCTACCTAGCATGTAGTTTAAAACTATCATTGGGTTCACTCTTCAATAACTAAGAATGACCTAGTGTCATTACATAAGTCTAGTTCACCTCTTGATTGTCCTACTCAAAATCCTTTGGTATCGTTCATTTCATTGTGTGCATTACATGAGGTTGCCCTCATTCTTTCTTTGGGAACTTTAACTTCAACATACATAAATGATGTGAGCATCCTTAAATCCAGTGTATACCCCACACCGAAAAGAGGTGGAATCACCGGCCAAAGTGAAACCAAAACATGCTAGTGTATATAGGGAATTGAACCCTGCTAGATCCCTATGTTGGCTACATAGGTTCAAAGAGTAGGAGATATAAGGAGACCCATAACCATCTGGACGGACAGTCTCATCTAATGAGAATTACACGAATCTCTGCCTTCAAAAAGAAGGAATCGCCACTCATATCCAGCCTATCACTACTCAGTATAAAGTTCCATTACATTCATCTCATACATCATAGTAGATGACTTCTAGCATAAGGACTTCGTATCTCATTAGATGATTGCTAATCTCATAATTAGTATTGAGTATATATTAACATCAATACTTTCATTAGAGTGTTAACAGAGACTGTTCTCTTCATTAGCTTTTCACCTTCATAGGTGAGTACAATTTGGTAACATTTACTTAGGTCATTTGAGATTTTTCTTATATTTCACATTAGCCTCTTAACATATTTTCACCACATTCATTAGCTTTAGAAAATTTTCCCTTCATAATTACTCACCCGTTTTTACGTGAATGCTCATTTCATCATATGCCAATGCACTTGGCCTTTTAGTGTGGTTCACACTCTTACTTAACGCTTTTGGGGTCACATCATTCATCACATAACATCCTAGGTTCAATAACTTTATAAACGTATGTTGGACTTATGAGTCCACACACACAAGACATGAGGCTTCATTCGTAATTCGTCTAAGTGATTCGTACTTACCCAAGGTTATGTGGTACAAAACTTATGCATCTTGTAAGTATGCAAAGATCTCAGTTTTTATCGTTAAAGGCAGCATTCATTTAATCATTTATTCACGTACGACTTATGTGTCAATATGGAATTGGGCAAGGGAGCAACACTTACTCTTATATTAAACTTGGTAATTGTATTTTTAAGATTGGGGGGACCCTAGGTCAATCCCCATTACCCCCATGTATTTTTATTTCTTTTCCCTCGTCTCTTTTCCATTTAAGGACAAGAGGTTGTGGGATCGATCCCCCACAAATTCATTTTATTTCTCGTAGTTTTTATCTTAACTTCCTCACCTATCCAAGAGGTGTTGGGTTCAATCACCACTCACCTCATCGTATTTTTCTCTTTCATTTTTCTCTTAACTCTATCATCTATTCAAGAGGTTGTGGGTTTAATTTACCACTCACCTCATTTATTTTTTCTTTCATTTTTCTCCTAATTCACTCATCTATTCAAGAGGTTGTGGGTTCAGTCCCCACTCACATAAATTATTTTCTCTTTCATTTTTCTTATGAAATCTTTATGTATTTTGCATTTTGTGAGGTCTTGGGTTTAATCCCTAATTACCAAACATTTTTTTAAAGAAATTGAAAATATATATCCTTCTCCAATACACAACCCGAGACCAACATTTCCTGCAAGCTGGGAATTTGGTCATCTTCCAGTTCATCTTTCTCTCATTTTTTTTGTTAATTCTTGGAGTATTTCGTGTGAAATTTATTCAACAACATTATACTTATATGAACATTACACTTTTAACATATTCATACACGTAAAATACAACATTTTAACATGTAAAATTTAGGCTTCAAACCATGGCTAACTCACGACACCCACATGCACAAACAAGTTAACGTAATTCACTTTTTCGGAACACATCTTTAATTTTACACATAATCTCCAAATACAAATTCAAAAACATATCACAAAAAGACCTAAAATCATCTACAAGAAGTCATACCAGCGCAAACTTTGAATCTTTCAAAGTATCTAATGTCAGTGGCATGCAACAGGTATAACCTTAGTTTTCGATTGTGATTAGATTAAACCTTAAGGGTATCTTGTAAAAGGGACCAAGAGGGAAGAAAACCCATAACTTAATGTCATTCAACACTTCTTTCAATGCTATATATTTCCCACAAAACCAAGTCTCACCACCGAAACTTCAAGCACAACCCGTCGAGGAACCCCTTTTTGTTTTCGTTTTTAGAATGTCTTTGCTTTTGAGTATTAGCGTTCAAGTTTTTGGTAGACTTTATTTTTTTCTATTCTTTTTCCTTTGTTGAAGAATAATCGTGCAAGTGAGGGTGAGAGTAGGTAGAGAGACGTGAGAATGGGTGGATTCAGATTAGGAGAGTTAGGTGGAGACTTAATCAAACTAGGACTCCTCATTATTTATTAATTTTATCATAAATATGATTTTCCTTTTCTTAAATCAGATTATTAAATATTGGTTAATTCAACTAATTCACTAAATACCAATTAATTAATTTAATTCGTTGCTTCCACCCAGGTTCGAACCCGGGTAAAAATGAAATTTGCATAAGGGTCAAATTCAGTCAACCCCTACAAGAATTGCCCCTTAATCATACTAATTAATTATTAATTAATACTTAGGGTAATTACAATACTACCCTTATCCTGGAACAGACCATTTTACCCCTAGACCCTCCAAACATAAGATTACCCCTTTCATGTTCGGTTAAGACTCATTCGGGTGATTTTTCATAATCGGGTGCCCTACATGGCTGGACCCAACATTGCCTAGATCAACTAACTCACCAAGTTGGTTGGCTTGGCTGTTGCATAGGTTCAGAGATTTGGTTCTACGCCCATCACTCCGTTTGAACCCGGTCTAATCTTAGGCATTTTAGATACATTAGGCATTTCTTTGCATAGTCATTTTAGGGTTGTTACAAAGATTTCCAAGATTCTTCAATCGGCCTTCTTAATCTTCAATAGCCGGACCCTAAAATTGTACTAATATAAAGTAAGGGGTTAGTACGCCACATGTACTAAGTAT